GGCAGGCAGCTGGGCCACAAGGAGCCAGGAGCACCTCGTGTCTCAGCCTGCGCCCCCTTGTCGCTGCAGGTGGCTGGTACAAAGGGCCCAGGTTCTCCAGGCTCCGGGAAGACCGCATGATTTTTACTAGCTCTCTGGCAGCTTTTGCCCACCTTTGGGGTACGTGCCCTCCCCGGGTCTCACGCAGCACCCAGGGGAGCGGGACAGGCTGGGGGGTGGCTGAGGTCCCGGATGGCCCCAACTCAGCCCAGGGCTCATCTCAGAGACAGCCAGACCCCAGACCGCTCCAGGCACGCGAGGGAGGAGGGCACCAAGAACCCATGCTGGGTTTGGGGTGGACAGGTAGGGTGGGAGCTCAGGTTGAACAAGGCCTGAGGACCTACAGCATCAGCAATTGTGGTGCAGCTGGAGTCCTGCCTGTGGATCTTCCTTGTCCAAGAGCCCAGATTACCCATTTGACTCCTTTCTTCCTGCCTTGTCTGCAGGCACTGATAGAGAGCACCTCTCTGCAGGCAAAAACTTCCCTTGCCAGAGGAAATTACTCATTTAATTCCTGAAGAGATGATTCCTTCCCCTGCTCACATCCCAAGGGGGGTTTTCTATGGGGAAAAGCACATTTTGGGACACTGGTGGGTGCTGATGAGGCTCTGAGTGCCACTCCCACAATGACTGGGGCAGAGTCTGTCCTACCTCTGCAGCCTGGATGCTGAGGGCATCCCTGCTCCTCTCCTCTTACTCCCATCTGCCTGGCAGAGGGGGTTTGCAGGTGCTGGTGACCTGCAGGCTGCAGAGCAGTTTGTACCCTGGTGTGTCTCCTTGCTCTTCCCCTCAGGTGTCCCGGAGAAAGTCGGCCTCTACTTTCTTTGCGGGGTCTCGGGAGGCCTCCTGCTGCTGCTGTGTATCATCAGCCCCAAAGCAGCCTTCCTCCAGGAGGTGGGGGAGGCTCTCAAGGACCCAGAGCTGGGGAGCAGCTCGGAGCTGGGCAGGACCAAGCTGCGGGATGAGCAGGATGAAGACCTTCCTGATGACAGCTCCTCAGACTCCTCGTTCCGCCGCCTCACCCGCACCTACCGGGCCACCGACAACATCTTCGGCCCTGAGCTGACAGCAGCCATGGAGGGAGCGGTGGATCACCAGGGCTACGGCGGGGAGGAGATCTGGATGCCCAAGGAGTCCAGCCCGTATGCCATCCACAAGATCAAATCGGCCACCAAATAAGGACTGGAAGAAAACAGGTGGGGAGCAGCAGGGGGGCGCAGGCTCAGCAGTGGGACCCGACATCAGAGAGACAAAGAGTTTGGGCTCCTCAGGGTGACTGCACATCCCAAGCCGCAGCAGGGTCACGGCAGCTCCGGTGTGATCATCAACCGACTACTCCACCAGCCTGGAAACCTCTAACCTGGGGGTGAGATGTGGTCCCTGGTTGTGATGAGGGGCTGTGGGATGGCTCCTTTGCCACAGACACACTGCTAACCCTAAGCTAACTTCCCCGTTCCTGGTTCACATCATGTGGCTCTAGTGTTTAACCCTGCTCAGCCGCGCCGAGCCCACGCTGAGCCCTTTGAGGCTGTTTGCTCCCATTTCTCCTTGGGTGCTGGCTTCCACCCCCGGTGCTGCAAACACATCCTGCACTCAGGGAGCGTGCTGGCAGCAGGGAGGCGGGAATGGCCAGGACATGGTGGGGATGCAGGTGGAGCAGGTGGGCAAGCACAGGGGGCATCACCAGCACAGCTCCACCAAGGTGCATTCCATGCAGCCCTGGTGTCCCCGGGGAGTTGCTCCCTGGGCTGGGACAGCTCAGCACAGCACTGGCTCTCGCCTCCCTGAGGGCATTCAGGAACTCTGTCACCCTGCCTTGCTCTGTGCTTTCCTTCGTGCTTTCCCCACTGTCAGGAAAGCCCCGGGCTTAATTTGCTGGGGCTTTTTCCAGTAAATAAATGCAACAGCTTTTGGACTCGAGATCCCTCCCTGACCTCGGCCATTAGTAGTGAAAAGAGGAGAAAAAGGAGGAGGCAAAGTTCAGCCCTCCCTGTGCAGAGCAGCTCCTTTCCTTCTACCAGTGCTTCTGGCTCTGGGCCATGGGGAGCAACAAGTTGGGCCTGTTTTATCATGGGAAAGGATAAGGTTTCAGCCTGGGGAAGGGAAAGGGGGAGAAGCAGTCTGTGTGGATTCCATGAATGATGCTTCCTTGTCCTTGCTGCTTCTCTTGAGCCTGAGGCTCCTTGTCTGGTAAACAATCCTGGAGCTAAGGTCCCCAGATGCCACGCAGAGGGGTTTCTTGGCAGCCCTGCAGTGCCAGTGAGCTGGGCTAGGGCTGGGGGCTGCTCTAGCTCTGAAAGGCAGCACAGGCTCTGTGATGCTGTGGGAAGAGGCTGGATGGAAGCAGCGACTCAGCTCTCCTCACAATAGGGACACACGAGGCACAGATGCTCTTGAGTCAGCACACAGCAGAGCCTAGTGGGGGGAGCCAAGGACTTGCATCCTGCCTGATTTGGGGGTTTGCTGAGGTAATGCCAGAGCCCAAGGAGAGCTTGAGGGGCTCTCACCTCCAACCAGACCCCAGATCCTTTGGTGATGGGCAGGGCTGAGAATCACAGCCTTCCCTCCATGCTTGGACAGCTGGCACAGCTCCTGCTGCAGACCCACATCATCACCTTGCACTTCTTGCTCCCCATATCTTTCCTCCCATACCCCCCACGGCTGGGGGGCATTTCTGCTCATGTGGTGCAAGTCACAGCCCCTGCAGCAGGGCTGGGCTTCCCGAGAGCCGCCCAAGGAGCACCAGCACAGCAGCGCCGTGGAAAAGCCAGCAAGAAAAGACTGGAAAAGCCGGCTTCCCCATGCCAAGCCTGGGCAGGACAGGCAGACATGGACCTGTCCCAAAGCAGGCAGCTCACCCCAGCCCCCACAGAGCCATAGGCAGACTTGGATGGGGGTTTTGGCTGAGGATCTTACCCCACAGGCCAATGCACCGTGTTTCCATTGGCGGTGGGATGCGTCCTGGCTCTGCCTGGCTAGTATGCATACATCTCATCCTTTTAGCCGGGCTATACACTGCCCCAACATGCATAAGGATCCAGGCAGGCACCTAGATCCCACAGAGATCCCAGACCAACAGCGAGCAAGCCTCAGAGAGCTCCCAGTCCAGGGGCAATGGTAGCAACACCGGGGGAGGTGGGGCTGGAGAGGACAAGTGGCCAAGGAGGACACAGGGTGGGCTGGAGCTGCAGCAGCCCTGAACCAGTTTTGGAAGCTGAAGGGACCCAAGATCTGTGGGACCCAGGTTTAAACCCCCACTGGCCCTGCAAGCACCCCATAGCTGTGCTGCACCCCAAAGCCATTCTGGTGCTCCTGGCTGTCCATGTCCCAGATCTTTCTGCTGGAGCCCAAGCTGTGTGCCTGATCCTGCCCTCGTGGCCCCTGGGTGGGTGGTTTAAATCCCCTCAGATGCTGGCACTGGGATGCTTCCCTGGCCAGGGCTTCATTGGCCCCACCAGCAAGAGTGGCACACAGTGGGTGTGGGATTATACCAAAGAATTTTGTTGGGCTAAACTTGGGAATCTGGAAGGTTTTTCTGGGAATCTGGTGGCTGGGGGAAGCTCTCCTCTGGTGCAGCACTGAGCTCTGATGAGTTTACCTTAGTGGGGCTTCATTTGAGAGCTCAGTGCGGTGCTAAAGCCCCCCAGAGCTCCTGAGGGCACAGGACCCCCACACGGCACTGGCACGTGAGCCAAGGACTGTGCTAGTTCCAACCTGCTCTCTGGAAATGCACGAAGGAGCAGAGTGATAGAACGAGCATCAAATGTATCAGCTTGGAACATCAATCATGCGACTGACACATGAAAAGTGGGTGACTTTTCCAAGACTCGTTTATCAAGGAACAAAGCGAGCTGTGGGTGTAAGGAGTCTCATGCATTCTTTTCCTGACGCATGGAAGCTGACTACAAGCCAACCGCATTATCCCATGAGTATGACAGCCTTGAGCGAGCCTTCTGAGCATTCCCAGCTGCGTGGCAGGGGTGTCCCCCAGAGCTGCGGTGCCCTCCAGGCTGCTCCTTGAGGCACAGAGAACTCTGACCCTCGGCAGATCTGTGGTAAGCAGGCACTATCCTGTACAGCTCATAGTACAGGGACTGTGAGCTGTGCCTTGGCAACTTTGACCCTGTCCTGGCCGCTGTGGATCCCGGTTTGAACGGGGCAGTCCCAGCGAGCCTCGCCACTGAACTTGGTCTGTTGTGCCTGTAGGACACCACGTGAGCACTGCTCCTGTGGTACCTCCCACAGTGAGGGCAGGGTTAGATTAAATATTAGGAAAGAATTCTTCCCTGTGAGGGTGGGGAGGCCCTGGCACAGGTTGCCCAGAGAAGCTGTGGCTGCCGCATCCCTGGAAGTGTCCGAGTCCAGGTTGGATGGGGCTTGGAGCAACCTGGGCTAGTGGAAGGTGTCCCTACCCGTCGCAGGGGGTGGGACTGGATGGGCTTTAAGGTCCTTCCCCACCTAAACCATTCTGTCATTCTATGATTCTTCAAGCGATCCAAACGCTCTGTTCCTGACGGAGGTCATGGGAGGTGCACAGCCAGCCCAGGGCACACCCTGTCCCCCAAACCAGAACGCCCCAGTCCCATGAGAAAGGGCAGTCCTGCAGTCTGGGGTGGGGGGCAAAGGGGGAGACCCACGGCTCCAGCTGCGGGCAGAGGCAGCGAGCTCAGAAAGGATAAATAAGGTCTATCGCTCCTGAGCCTCCTCTTCCCCAAGCTAAAGGACCCCCGAAGTGCGGCTGAGGCCGCTCAGCCCCCACACGGCCCGGTGGGGCCGCCATGACACCCCCTCCAGCCCCTCAAGGAGGGATTTAAACGGCACCGGCTCCCACCAATCACCGCCCGCTCCGCCGGCCGCTCGCCCCGCCCCCGCCGCTCGCCCGCCCTCCCATTGGCCGCCCGGGCTGAATTTTAAACCCTGCCGCCCTGCCCCTTAGCAACTGTATCGGTCCGCGCCCACCGATTGGCCGCTGCCCGGCCCCGCCCCGCGCGCTGATTGGGCGAGGCTCGTCCAGTGGGGTCCGGCCGCTGGCGAACTGCTACTTTTGAAAGTGCCGGTGCCGGCGGAGCGGGGAGAGCGGGCCGGGCATGGGTGGGTGAGGACAGAGGGGTGAGGATACGGGGCACGGGGGGGGTGAGGGTACAGGGCATGGAGGAAAATGGGACGGGTAATGGGAGGATCGGGTACCGCGCATGGGTGAGTGAGGGTACAGGGTGTGGGAGAGAGCGGGTACCGGGCATGCGGGAGTGTGCGACGGGTAATGGGGGAGAGCGGGTACCGGGCGTGGGTGAGTGCGGGTACGGGGGCTCTGGGGAGCTCTGGGAACCCCGGGAGGGCCGGGTGAGCAGAGAATTCGAGCACCCTGGGGGGCTGCAGTGGATTGGGGAACCTCAGAAGTGGGGGCGGCAGGTGAGGGGGGATGCTGGGACGCTCTGGTGGTGCGTGTGAGTGGAAGGTGCAGGGGAGGGGGGGCAACTGAGACCTCCCCGGGGTGTGCAAGGGAGAGGGGAACTCTGGGACTCCCAGCTCTTCCAGGGGACCCCGGGGGGTGTAAGGGAGAAAGGATCTCCGAGGACCCTGGCTGTCCAAGGGAGTGCAAGCCCTTGCATCCTTCTCTGGGATGCAGGAACGTGGGAACTGCCTCCTGCTTTCCCCCAGCCCATGCATTCATGAAGGGAGCTTTAAGTGGGACTCTTAGGGCTCCATGTCCCCTCTTTCTTGGGAGGGTGCACCCCCAGGCAGACTTGCTCCCTACCTTGGCTTTTCTTGGGGCACAAGCCACCTGCCATGCTCAGGGAAGGGGTTGGGGTCAGCCCCTGCTGTGCTATCCACCAGGAGGGACAAATGCCCCCCTATTCTGCCCCAAGTGGGGAGGGTGTCCCCTGGGGACAGACAGCAGCCTCACACCCTGCTGTGCCCCCAGCTTGCCCGCGGAGGACCAAGGAGAGGACACCAGTGCCGAGGGAGAGGACGCCGCTGCCCCACAACGCCAAGATGCTGGCCACCAAGCAGACCAGAGCAGGCAAGGTGGGCCCCACAGTAGAGAATGTTGACCCCGAGAAGGTGAGTCCTGAGCCAGGCCAAGGGTGTGGGGGACTCCTGTGGGGCAGCTGACTATCATCTTCCAACAGCCTCTATTGCAGGAGGAGAACTGTTACACCAAGAGATCTTCATCCTCACCCCAGGGCGGGCCCAAGAAGAGGTCGGCGTTCGGGGACATCACCAATGTGAGTACTTCTGTGAGGATGGGGGCTTTGGTGCCCCCTGCGAGCCCCCCTCGGGAGGTGGGGATGTGTCCCACGCCCCACTAGCAAGAGGAGAGGTCTCCCTGCAGGGCATATCTGGCTTCCCTCTGTGCAGCCCCTGTATCCCTCTGTTCTGACCCAAACAGGCTCGCAAGAACCAGGCGGTGGCAGGGAAGAAGGAGGCCGTGAAAGTGGCACTGCCTAAGGCACAGAAGGCACAGGGCACACTAGGGGTGGCCAAGAACAATGAGATCAACCTGAAAAAGTGAGTAGCCGTGGGCAGGGTGGTTGCTGCAGGGCAGTGGGCAGTACCTGCAAACTTGTCCCATAGGACAGAACAAGTGGTAGTAGAGGCTTCCCTCGGGTGATGGAGACCATGAGCCAGATGTGGGCAGTAAACAGGAGATAAAATGGCATCAAGTTGTGCCATGGGAGGTTTAGGGTGGATATTAGGAAAAAATTTCTTCCCCAGAAGGGCTGTTCAGCCCTGGTACAGGCTGCCCAGGACAGTTGTAAAATTGCCATCTGTGGAGGGATTTGAGAGCCGTATGGCACTGCAGGACATGGTTTAGTGGTGGACATGGCAGTGCTACAGGGCACAGTTGGACTCTTGGTCTTTGAAGGTCTTTTCCAGCCTAAACAATTCTAAGAGTCTTTATGGGGATATTTTAGGGGTGGTTTAGCCCCTTCCTGAAGCAGCAAGGGGCTCTGGGGAGCCCCTTTCAGCCAGGAGATTTGGCCTCCTCCCAGGAATGACTTATACTCTTGTCCTGCCCAGGTCAATGAAGAAAACTCCCCCAATAGCTCCTTCAGAGCCCGAGGTGGATCCTGTACCAGAGAAACCGGTGCCTGTGCAGGAACTGAAGCCCCACAAGGAGAAGGTAGGTACCCTGGGCTGCAGCATGGCCCTGGGCTCATCTTCACAGCACTGGTCTGTGGCTGCCACCGATGACAACAGGGCACCAGGCAGTGCTCTGGACCTTGGAGAGGCTTGGGCCAGTGTGATAGGAAGCTGGGGCTCTCATGGGAAAGAGTGGGGCAGGGGCTGCAGGATGATGAGGGAAGGTAGGAAAGAGCAGGCTGAGTGGCAGCAGCCTTGCCCCGATGGGGTGACCACAGAGCTAAGGGTCTCCCCCTTACTGGTGCCTCCTCCATCCCAGCAGGTACCAGCAGTGGAGGACATCGACAAGGAGCAGCTGGGTGACCCCTATGCCAATGCAGAGTATGCCAAGGAGATCTTTGAATACATGCGGGAAAGAGAGGTGGGTAATGCCTGTCCGGGGGGGTGGCAGCCCTGTCCAGGGAAGGGATGACTGTGTGGGCAGGGCCACCCACTGCCCAGAGAATCTGAGCACCTGGTGGGGACCTGCACGGGGTGGGAAGGGGTTTGTTTGAGGGAGGATTTCTGTCCAGTCCCTGATAGCTGCTTCTTTGGCAGGAGAAATTCCTGCTTCCTGACTACATGGAGAAGCAGCCGGACATCACCGGGGACATGCGTGCCATCCTTGTGGACTGGATGGTGGAGGTGCAGGTGAGGGGCCATGGCCCTGTGCAGAACAGCCCCCCATGCTGCCTTTGTCACATGGGACCTTTGTGTGCTGGCAGAAGCTCCTGTGGGTGTCCTCAGTACAGAGATGATCTTCCCCTTCCCTGGGCTAGGGATGAGCCTACACCCCTCCCTCTGAGCCTGGCCCATGGGCACTCCTGGCCCCTGTGAGAGCTGAGGGGGCAGGGTAGGCTTCTGCCTGACACCCTGTCCTGCCCCCCACCTGCATCCTCACAGGAGAACTTTGAGCTGAACCATGAGACACTATACCTGGCTGTGAAGCTGGTGGACCACTACCTGGTGGAGGTGGTGAGCATGAGGGAGAAGCTGCAGCTCATCGGCTCCACTGCCATCCTCATTGCCTCCAAATTCGAGGTAAATCCTTGCATGCTGTCCTGGGGGGCAGGGGCAGAAAGGGCTGTGCCTCTCTGGTCCCTGGCAGGTTTTGGAGAAGGCCAGGTCCCAGGCTGCTGCCCTGAGAGCTGCTGGTGTGACATGTCTGTTCTCGGGTTCCCTCTTTTTGTCCCCTGGCTGTGAATGCAGGCATCCAGCCTCCTGGTATCACTGGAGACCTGGCTCTTCTCTGCTCTGCAGAGACCCTCAGGATGCCTGAGTTCACCTCACACAAGCATTCATTGCAAGCTAAGAGCTGGGGCAGCAGAGATATCACAGAATCCCCACGAGGTGTTTTAACAGTAGTGTGTCTGGGGTCCTACAGCATGTGAACCTTGATAGGGCCTGTGGGATGGGTGGGATCTCCCAAGTGGGGCCAGAATAAGCCCCCACTGGGGTGCTGAGCAGTTGTGCCCCGGCAGGAGCGGTGCCCACCGTGCGTGGATGACTTCCTCTACATCTGTGATGACGCCTACAAGCGGGAGGAGCTCCTGGCCATGGAGATGAGCATCCTCAGCACCCTCAAGTTCGACATCAACATCCCCATCCCCTACCGCTTCCTGCGGCGCTTTGCCAAGGTGGGTGCAGCTGGAGGGTGGGCTGGCATCCAGGTGCCCCCAGGCACCCCTTGTGTTGGCTGAAGGGGGTGGTGACAGGCATTCCTGGGGCTTCAGGCTCCCAGCTGGCAACCAGGAATGTTTGTCCAGCCCCCTCAGGAGACATTAGGGTTGAGGATGCTGATCTGGGGGAGGCTTGTGGAGGGTGTGGGGTCTGTGTCCTGTGCTCCAGGGGCATCGCTCTTGATGTCAGAGATGCTGGGGAGGGGAGCAGCGTTGCTCAGAAGGCTGAGCCTTTCCCTGCCCCCTGGCTGCAGTGTGCCCGTGCCACCATGGAGACACTGACGCTGGCCCGCTTCCTCTGCGAGATGACACTGCAGGAGTACGACTACGCCCGTGAGAGCCCCTCAAAGCTGGCTGCCAGCTGCCTGCTGCTGGCACTTACCATGAAGAACCTTGGGGGCTGGGTGAGTGCCTGCCTAAGCCCCTGTCCCTGCTGAGACAACCCTGCGAGGTACCACAGGGGTGTGGGGAGGGCGATGGACTGGTGGGTGGGGTGATGCTCTAGGGCTATGATCACATTTTGGGGGGGCTGGAGAGGGAAGATGGTGGCTGTCCTGTCACTGAGAGGACCCAGCTTAGCTCTGTTGTCCCCTTGCAGACCCCTACACTGGAATACTACAGCGGGTACAGTGCCCAGGACCTGCATCCCCTGGTGAAGAGGCTGAATTTCCTGCTCACGTATCAGCCCCGTGACAAACTGAACACCGTGCGCAGCAAGTACTCCCACAGGTGAGTGTTACGGGGCTCTGTCTCACTCTGGCCCCAGCACAGGGGGTGGCACCACCAGCACACACCCTGGGGTGCTGTGGGGAGCTGGGAGCACTGGTGAATGCAGGGGTGTCAGGGCTGTGGCTGAGCTCTAAGCAAACGTGTTCTTTTCAGGGTCTTCTTTGAGGTTGCCAAACTCACCCCCATGGACATGCTCAAGCTCGAGAAGGCACTCACTAGCTGCTAGTCCTACTCTGTAAATAAAGCCTGTAAATAACGGGGCGCCCTTGGGTGGTGGGGTACCATGTACATAAATAATAGTAATTTTAACTGAAGAAGAGGGGAAAAAAAAAAAAAGTCATGTGTAACTGTTAATAAAATGTGTTTGTTAATAAAATCTGTCTGTCACACATGCTGACAGGGGAGAGGATGAGCCCCAGTGCTGTACTTCCCTTGGCTGCAAGGGGACAGAGGGTGAGAGCAGGGTTGGGGGTTCCATGATGAGGGAGCAGGGAGATGAGGGGTGAAGGCTGGAAAGGGATTCCCGATTCCCTCCTCCCCCACCCCTCCCTTTCCCCTTAGTAATGACACTTAAACAAGCAGCAGCAATGAGTATCTTCTCTCCAAATATTTACACAGCTTAAATATCCACGTGGGGAAGGGGAAACTTTGCTTTGGCCCCAGCTTGGGCACAGAGAGGGTGGTCCCAGGTCCTGTAGTGACCCTGCTGGGGCTGGACTGTTGGTCAGACCACATCACCTATGGGGTTAGACCTCTGCTTTAGTGTCTCCAGCCCCACAGGCTTAGGGAGAAGCAGTGGCTCCAGGGACAGACAGATACAGCGAGGCAAGCGAAGGGGCTCCACATACATGGGGCAGGGCAGGGACCTGTTCCCCTACCCACCCCAGGTCCCTGTTAGCAGCACCCACTCAGCAAGGCTGGGCTGCTGCCCCACTGCCAGCCTAGGGCTGGTTGCTGAGCTCCTTAATGGCCTGAAGGATCCTCTTCATGTGGCCCACTTTGGTGATCCCAAGGTCCTGCAGGAAGGAGAGAGAGGAGCTGATGTACTTGCAGAGGCCAGCCCTGGGCTCTCACTGGCAGGGAAGCCAAAGGGCAGAGATGAGGCTGCACAGCCCAGCTCCCCCTGCTCTCTTTGCTGGAGCATGGTGCTTGCTTGGAGCCCTCTGTCCTCTTACAAGCACGTTCCCATGCCTGGATGCAGGAGAGGGCAGGATGCTGTTGATCCTGCTTTGGGCAGGTATATGGAGCGTTGCAAGCTGGAGGACCAGGGCCAGCCCCTCCCCTGCTTCCAGCCCTGTGTGCAAGCTGTGCAAGCTCAGCCCTGCGGAGCCAGGTGGAGGGTCAGCACCTGCCTTTGCCCCACCACCAGGAGGGATGGGGAGAGGAAGGATGGAGGAACACCATGCTCCCCAGGCCTGGGGGTCCCTCAGAGGGCATAAGGGGGTTGTACCTTCAGGTCTCTCCTCTCCAGCAGGATCAACTCTGAGCCCTGGATGTCATGCCGAACAAAAATGTCTCTGTACTCCCCTAAACCGAGCGCTTCCAGCCAAGCTGCCACCTCCTCGGAGCCCCACTTGTCTGCTAGCAAGGGAGGAAAACCACAGAGGTGGCCTGGAGCCTGCAGAGGCAGCTGGATGCAGCAGGACAAGCAGCCAGCAGCCAGCATCCCCCCTGCCACCCTTGGGTCCTGCAGGGCCAGAGGCTGCATCAGGCACAGGCTGGAGAGGTCTCTCCTCTCCTTAGCTTACTTACAGAACATCTGAGCTGCTCCCCCTCGACAAGACCCCCAGCTCTGGGTGAGGGACTTACCCAAAGGGCTGAGCAGCACCACAGCCCCCTTCTCCCCCTTGCAGTGGAGTTACAGGGCTGGGGGGCTCCGCATGTCTGACAGCAGAAAAAGTAAGCTTTAAGGGGCTAGGGGTGACAAAGGTGACACCCCCCAGGCAGCCAGGACATGCCGCATCCCCCTTCCCACAGCGTGCTCAGGACAGGAGGCCAAGGGCTAGGTTAGCAGAGGGGGATCCCTACCAGCACGGGCTGCACCTGCCTCTCCCTGGCGCACTGCTTGCTTTACCTGGGAGCGCGCTGTTGGCCTTCTGCTTTTGCAGCTTGTCCTTCTCCTTCCTGGGCTTGGGGATGTTGAGGCGAAGCTTGAAGCTGCCCTTGTTGGCGCTGCCAGCACCTTCCTGCAGGAAGCCAGGCTGAGCAGGGTGCTACAGCTCCCCAGAGACGCCCCCCACTCCCTGTGCACCCACCTCCTCAGCGGGGTGGGCAATGGGCCCCAGCCAGTGGATGTCCAGCAGCCGCTGCAGCTCCTGGCCCAGCACATTCAGGGGGCCGTGAAGCGCCTCCTCCTCCTGCGGCGAGTCCAGCTGCGGGGGACAGGGACCATCCCCAGCCCAGCTGCCACCCCCAGAGGTACCAGCCAAGGGGGGATTTTGGGTGCTGCCCAGGCCCCCACTCACCGCCTTCCCCTCCAGGAACGCCCTGGTCTCAGCGTACAGCTCCTTGATGCTCAGCACCACCTCCACGGCCACATTCCTGCTGAGAAACTGGGGGGGCACAGAGGGGTAGCCACTTGAGCACAGGGCCCAGAGGGGGGGTGGGTGAAGGAAGCTGCCTTGCACTCCCAGCCCCAGCTCACCTCTGAGGTGCCGGCAGCTTTGTTGGAGAGGGCTTCGCTCAGCGCCAGGGAGCTGGCGTTCACTGCGTGTGCCAGCTCCTGCTCCACAGCTTTGTGAGCCTTGGCTGCCTCGTGGATCCTGCAGGTGAGAGGGGCTGGAGCTGCTCAGGCTCCCATGGGCTGGGCAGGCAGCTCTGCGTGGCCGCAGCACAGCTCTGCCCTCCCCGTGCCCACCACATCCCGCCTCCCGCAGTCTGACCTGGCAATGAGGGTCTCGGCAACCCTCGAGACCTGCTGTAAGAGGCTGCTCTCCTCCTCAGTCAGGTACTCCATGGACTGCTGGGAGCTGAGCCGTGGTCGGGCGGCTGCTCGGTAGCTCTCCCCCTTCTGCTTGTCCTCCCAGGACTTGAGGGTGCTTTCAAATGCCTGCAGGGGACAGACACGGCCCCCCTGAGCCTGTCACACCTCTCTGCGGCCCAGCACAGTCCTGCTGTGCACCCCAAGCTCACCCGGTCTCTGGTCAGCATCTGGGCTCGGTTCTTGTGCTGGATCTTGATGACCCCAGGTGGCTGGATCCAGGCCTCTCCATCCACCTGCACGGGGACGCCCTCATCCCCCCGGATGGTGATCTTCACCACGCGGCACTGCGGGGTGGACAGCCCACGGTTGGCATTGCTGCTGGCTCTGCACCTCTGGCTGAAGAGCCTCCCAGGGCCATGCAAGGGCCAGCCAGGAGCTGAGCCAAGTGGAGCCGCACTGCTGCAGTCTCCACTGCTGCCCCAAAAGCTTTCTGGCACTGCTCAGGGTGGGGACACCCCCAGGGTGCATTGCCCCTACCTGTGCAATGCGATGGTGCTGGAGGTTGATGACCCGTGACACAGCCATCTGGATGCTGCCAAAGACAGCCACCACCTCCAGCTTCTTGTCATCGAAGGATGGAGCCCCAAAGTTCTGTAGAAGACCAGTACAAGTGAGACTTCCACACTGGGTTCATTCTGGGACCCAGCATTTTCCCCCATGTGTGCCCAAGGCAGGAAAAACCCCAACCCTGGGTTTTCCTGGGACTGTGGGAAGGACATCATGCCCCTCCAACCCACCTCATGGCACTGGCACTCACATTGTCCTCCTTGGTGCCTCCCCAGAAGTTGATGCCCCCGGCATAGCTGGGGATGTTGAGGACAGCAATGCCCTGCAGGCTGGGCAGCGAGATGGGCACCCCGTCACACTGCAAGAGAAGGCTGAGCCTGGGGGGCCGCTGCAATGCCACCCCCCCTGCCCTATCTCTGCTCCCCTGACCCTGTACCTCCAGCTGCACCCGCTGCTCCAGGTTCTTGTAGGTGCGCTGCAGGAGCTCCTTGGTGCCCAGCACCCCATACCACATCATGTTCTTGGTGCGGCTGCTGTGGGGCCAAGTGGGACATGTCAGGGGGCTGCACCTTCCCCACTCTCTGCCATGGGCTCTGCACCCTCCTGGGGGCAATGGGCAGAACTGTCCTGGGCCATTGGCCCTGCCTCAGTTTCCCCACTTCCTCAGCAGGGGGCTGCCTGCTGGACCTTTCCATGCCAGCATGGCAATGTCCCTCTACCCAGATGCAGAGTGAGTAAATCCCACCAAGCCCTCACGATTTTACCCTTCCTGAGGTACTTGCAGCCTGCTGCCCACCCACAGGGTGCTCATCCCAGCACTGGGTGCAGGTGGAAAACCTGCTGCAGGCAGGAGATTCCAGCACAGCAGCACCAAGCCACTCCCATGGCTCCCAGCGTCTCGATGGTCCCTCCTGGTGCAGGCATTGGAGAGCCAGGGATACATGTTTTTTCTGGGGGAAATTTGGGGGGGGGGGGTCCAACCAACCTGCACTTCTTGGGGTGCTCATCCCGTTTGTTGTTGAACTCCAGGGAGATCTTCGCATCCAGGCCGATGCCAAAGTAGTTATTCATGACGCATTTCTCCGAGAAGTGGCTGAAAGCAGCAGACAGGGACAGTGGGTTGGGAGGCAGCTGCACGCTGGCACCACTGGGCTGGCACTGGAGGATGGGGTGTAACATCTGCCAGAGCAGTGGCACGAGCTCCCAGAGGGGCTGGCACCGGGAGGCCTGGCCAAAGCTGGCAGGGATGGCTGCAGTCCCCTCAGTCCCCATTGCAGGACACATTTGGCACATCCAGGACCTGCCTGCCCTGGGCAGGGGGGAACCCTGAGCTCCCAGCATCAGCTACAGATCCCACACTAGGCACAGGCAGGCTCTCCCATCATGGGCACTGCAGGGCTGGGAAGAGCTTGGCACCAGGGACACCACACTGGTGGGCAGAGGCTGGCCCAGCAGCCACCTCCAAGAGCCAGCGCGGTACCAGCTCTGCTCCCACTCCATGAGGGGTAGCGAGGGTGGGCCAGGGTCCCCGGGGCAGGCAGGAGCCCAGACTCACAGGGTGCCAGGGTCTTCAGGGAACTGCAAGCTGCCGAAGGAGTCTGGCCGGTCCAGGATGATGGAGGAAGACGAAGAGGTCACTGTCACCCGCCGGGAGCCTGACCAGCGGGGAGAGGGAGGTAGCTGCTGCACGGGTGCTCACCCTGAGCCCATTCCATGGCTCACCCTCATGCCCCCATAAAAAAACATGTGCCCCACTGGCATCTTACTGAGCCTCTCCTCCTCCTTGTTGAGCTCCTCTGAGCTGTCCTTGCTGGCGCCCGTGGTGCCCCGGTAGGCTTGGGTCTGCTTGTTCTGCTCATCCACAGCTGGATGCAAAGA